AGCCAACAAGAGAGGATTTCCTGAAGACGACAAGGTATAGACAAAGAACAATAGGCTAGAAATGAGAGTCATGCCAGTGCTTGCCATGGCAGTGAACAGTCACACAGGCCTTTGGTCAGAGTTGGTCTTGGGAGGTGCGGTAGTAAAAGATAATGGACCTCAGAGATGCTCTGAGGGGCCAGTAGTGCCAAGAGGTGAGACAGGTACCACAGGACCCCTGGCAACAGAAAGGACCAGGAGGATTCAAGAGCTCACGTAGTCGGAGGAAACCCAGAGGTGCCCAAAGAGAAAGTAGCAAGCAGGTATCCTGACCCCAAAGGTCAGTAGTTCAAAACATGTGGAGAAAAATGATAGAGGTAGAAGAGACGGCGTCAGGGAGTTAGCCCAAACGAACTGCCGTTATTCACTGCTTCCCTGAGAGTGTAAGAAGGCGCCCCTGGTCAAGACAGGCGAGGGCGACTTACAGAGAAGGGGGTAAGACAATTCAAGTCACAGCACCTCCTGTTACAGTCAGTGTTGGCTCTCATTTCTTGAGTTCAGCAAAAAAAGAATTTTGAGCCAAGACTCAAACATGAGAGGAGGTTTATTTAACATGCCAAGTAAAAGTATACTTGAGGAGAAGCTTCGAGCAGGCCCCTCAGAGAGCTGCCTTGGCCTTTTAAGAAGACATTCTCAGAAGCAGAAGTGAGCCAGCTGGGCTGTGTGCACTTGGGAAACTAAGTCACAGAGGCAAAGGGGGCCCTTGGAGACAGGTTCAGGGGATTAGCCTGGGACGGGCTGTCACTGTCCACTGCTCCCCTGGCTGCAAGTCTCATAGAAACCCTGAAAGCTTAGGAAAAAGAAAGCAAAGATACACGCCTGATGAAAGTCGGTACAGGTGTGCTTCAGGGAAAGCAGGCACTGGGTCCGTTGTCTTAGGGTTTTTATCTGGTTTCTGAAGGTGGAATCTTAGGGGAGGCTCTAAATGGAATATTCATTAGTTTTCCAGGTGTGTCCTTTAATATGCTTATGCATAAGGGTCAGGATCATCCTCTAGTCAGTTTTGCTTAGAAAGAATGTTACCAAGAGGGGACCAGGACTGATACCCTGGGGGGTCTGCCCCAGCACTGTCTGAAATGTGTAAGAAAAGACCTTGTAATTTATTATCTGGCTGTAAATTGCTCAGCCACTGTGTTTAGCTGTCTGTCTCAGTATCCCCATTCCACTTGCCCAAGGAATTTTCCAAGCTTCTTACTGACCTGCCTCAAAATAAATGTTGAATTAATAGAATTTATAATTTAACATCTTGAATTTTCTTATAAACTTTGAAGACAGTACTGGCTTTAAAATATTGAAAGTGTTTCACATCTAAGAATTGTTTTTGACATTCCGTCATATTTTTAATTGATGCATTATTGCCAAACAAAACTGAACATTTGAAATCTTTCTTTTGCCTTATTTAATATAACAACAAAAGCTCACTCATGATCTGATTATGAAGCAACTTCTGCTTTTCTTTTTTTATGTATGATTTTGTGTTGTAGGTAGCTTGTGATCTTTTTTCAGCCTCCACGTCTGAACTTGTTTTGATTTTAAACATGTATGGACTTGTTAACTTTCTAAAAAATAATAATTGATTTGTTAATGTTTGCTTCCTCCTAAGAGTAACCTAGTTTATGAAATTGAAGGGACGTTTTGAGCCATCGTGAAATCACTTGAACTTGAGTAAATATTAGACTAGTTCATAAAAGAAAAAAAAGAGATTACCCCAGGATGTGTTGTATGAAAATGTCCTGGAGGCCTGCACGGTGGTGTCTCAGCAGAATGCACACCTCTCCCTTAGGAAGTCAGGGGTGAGCCTCATTTACTGCTGCTCTCATTTGGAACAGCACTATGTTATAGAACGAATGCTGGATTGGTAATTAGAAGGCCCTAGATTCTTGTTCTTGCTCACGGTGACCTTGAGCAAACGTTTTAGTCGTCTGGAGGTTCAGTTGAGTTTTTTCATCTGTCAGGTATGAGAGTCAGGCTAGAGTTAGTGATTTCCGGTTAGAGCCCTCGAGATCTTCTGAAGGCCATTGGGACACAGGAATGCTCTATCATATCACCCATCCTGCCTTAACCTGAGAAGCTTATTGTCATCTGTATGTAATGAACATGGTATAATCCATAAAGTAAATAACTAAAGGACTTTTGAGTAACCATTAACTGCTATACATCAAACTAACCATTCTGAGATTTCTATTGACATGTTATGAAATTGTTGTAGCCTTTAGGAGACCCTGCTCTTGTTGGCTTCTTTGGCGTGTCACCTGTGTAAATTTTCTTTTTAATCAATACAAAGAATAGGACAATTCTGAGGAAAGAGAACAGTCGAATATGATGGAAAGTCAAGGATTTATGGGGTGAAAGTATGTGGAGAAATGAGGATGAGGTAGGGGAAAGGGCTGAAAGAAAGCAGCTGGAAAGTAGGCTGGATCTAAGTTGTGAATGGTCTTAAATTTTATAGGAAACTGGGTTTTCACTATTAATAATGGGGAAGTAAAGAACTTTTTTGAGCAGGAAGATAATATCCAATCTGTGAATCAGAAAGCAAACTGTAGCAATGCAGAGGAAGGGCCGGAGAAGAAGAGGGTGATCGGAAGGCCATTTCAGTCACCCAGATGAGAGGTGTTGAAGATGTGAAATAATATGGAGGGAGATTGAGCATAGGTTGGACAAAACTAAACGTGTAAGAGAAGGGAGGAAGTAGTAAAAGGTGATTCTGGGTTTCCAGCTTACATGATTTTTAGGTGACAGAAGAGTCATTGCTAAAAACTCAGGAGAAAGTATATAGTGTAAGCATAAAAGTGATTAGTCTGAAGTGTTAGTGGGCTATGTGAAGAAGAGCCAACTTTGAGATAGTTGGGTATGCAGAGATTTAGGAGCAGTATTTACTGAGAGAAGGAGGACAAACAGAGTTGGAGCCTCTATATATCATAAGCTAACAAAAGAACCTGTGCAAAGAAAAAAGAAAAAAAAATCAGAGTAAGAAAGGAGACAGATATTCCAGGACACTAAACTGTTTGAAAAAGGTAGATATTTCAATGATGTTATTTGTCTAGAAAGTGAGATAGGACAAGGACTGAGAAGGTATTGGATTCAACAGTGGGGAGGTCACTGTTACCCTTTGAGAGAGCAGCTTTGGTGCTAGAGGAACCCAGTACTGGTGGGGCCAGGGGCCTGTTTCATCCCTCATCAAGTCTGATAAGGTTTACCTTGAGATAAGAGAGCAAAGCTGAGAAAAACCAAAAAGTGCCTTTTCTTTTGGGGGTACTGAGTAAGAATCAGTGGTGGGGAGAATATTGAAAATACTGTGTATTACATGGAGCATATCTCAAGCCCAAAATACAGAAGATATATAGAACAAAATGGCTTAATGCATTTTATTAATAACATTTTGAAGATGCAAATGAACAAAAATAATTTGAATATGTACCAAAGAGGAAATAAAATCTTTTGTGTATTCATTAGAAAGAAAATGTCACTAGAATGCATTTAATTCCTCAGGTAAAATTGCTATACAACATAATTTTTATTTTAAATCTGTATTATAAACCAGTAGTATTTCTTGCTTCTGTAACTTCTCCAAAAATATTTATTTTCTAGAGTACTTTAATTTGATTTAGTAACTTTTAAATATACATTGTACTGTACTTTATCTGAATTAAGTTTGAATGCCAGGATTATTGGAACTCATGAGTATATATAAAATATCCCTATTAAGACATTTCATTTTGAATATGTGGAATAATGTAAGTAAATACCAGTCTAGTTCTCTGTCTTTTTTGAATATTGGGAATAAAAATACAAAGTGAAAATTGTATTAACTATTACTCCAAGAATTAGATAAAGCTGTATAATAGCAAACATTTAAAATCATTTCCTAGAATGCAGTTTTCAGCCAGTGAATTATACAGAGAAGGTGCTTAGTGAATATTGAATTGTGCTGAATTCAGATCTTATATCTGAAACGGCACCTGATATTGTTAGTACACGAGACTAAGATAACTCACTGGCACAAGCTGTGTTAGCAGAACATTTTAATAAATAGTTCTTACTCTTCTGGTTGACTGTGTCAGAGTGAATATTTGTTCGACATACTTTGAAATTGAAAGTTTCCTGTTCTTTTAATTCATTTGTACAGTTACTAATAAGAAATGCCTACCACATGTAATAAAGGAATAGGTCATTCCTCTTCAGAAAATTTCACTGTTGAGGTGTAGCACATTGCTATAGATGAGTACTGTACTCCATAAATAACCTATGCTTTAAACATTTCCAAAGCTTATCTTCTCAATTTGTCTTTACGTAAGAAGTAAGAATGATTTATATAAATAAGTCCATAATTAAATTAGAAGTGCTCAGTAGTCTGACCTCTTCCCGTATACGTCTTATAAAAGTAGCAAGCCGCAAAGTGATCTTAGTCCCTTTACCACCCAGCTGGAGCAGGTGATGCTGCCCAGGGTGGTGCTCAGAAATAGAAGGGGGTCTGTTCTAGACAAAATCAAACACTCTTGCCCTTCGTGCATCTGGAGCACCCTGCCGCACAGTGGTTTCCTTTCATGCAGGTGTTTATGTGTTTGCTTTCTTACTATACTGTATGCTAACTGCTTGAGGATGGGGCCCAGCTCCTGCACTTCTCTGTCTCTATTCCTTAGTAAACCCTGCATGGTGGGCACTTAGTAAATATCCGTTGCAGGTTGTTTTAAAGTTTTTATCAAAGAGAAAAGTAATAAATAACCCAAATACTAATTTCTGCAAAGCCCTATTAGCATAGCATTTATCTTTCTCAGTTTTACCTTTTTGGTTATCAAGTAATATTTTGTATTTGTGTATTTTATTTATTTTGTTGCATTGTTGTTAAAAGACCTTTGTACCTTCATTGATTTCAAGTGTTAATTTGATTTTATTTTATAACCTTTTTTTACTACAATTATTAATTATAATTGACTTATGCCTTGAAAATACTGTTATTCTAGTTACAGATGAATCTATACCAACTTACTCTGGAAGTGATATGCCAAGAAATGACAGTAGCATGTGGTCAGAAGTAACTGAGGAAGGAACAGAGCTGTCACAGCGGCTCATGAGGAGTGGTTTTGCTGGAATTGAAATAGATCCTGAAAATGAAGAATTTATGCTGAATATTAGCTCTAGACTACAAGCAGCAGTTGAAAAACTCCTAGAAGCCATAAGTGAAACTAGTAGTCAGGTAACCTTCTTGTATTGCTAATATATACTGAGTTCGAAGCAGGTTTTCTTTTAAATCAGGGAACAACTAAATGTTTTCTCTCTCCAGGTTCCAAAGAAATTTCGTTTGACTCCCCCTTTAAAATTGGTTGTCTCTGTGACAACCAACCTGGAATCAGTAGTCGCCTTTTCAGGTGGTATAGGTTAATGTGCTGATGGAGTCTTCTGGTTCTAAAGTTGAACGGTGTTTTAATTTTCAAATTTTCTAGACTCTTTCATGCTACTTTTTTGATACAAAAAGAGGTTTAAACTTCATTATATGAAATATTCCACTATAATATATATAATTTATTTGAAGGAATAGTATGTTACGCCTAAAACTATATGCTCTGGTATGTCATAACAGTACTATTTCTTTAAATGATTTTTATGTCCTTTTCACAAATATAAATAGATCACTTTACAGACTATCTCTTGTTAGGAAATTAGAGTGTGGGACAGTTTCTATATTAAAGTACTATTTTTATAGAAAAATTTTAAGCCATTTATAACTTAAATTGCAATGTTCTCTGTCTATAAAACTTTATGTATGAAATTTATATGATAATTGTCTCTTAAGTTACTCTATGCAGAATTTTTAAAATTATTTGCTACTTTAAAATGAAGAGAATTAACTTATATTAAAAATGTTGAACTGAAATGTAGAAGTTATGAACTATAGAATCATAGCTATTGTATTAGTCAAATAATTCTCTCAGTTTCCAGGGCCAGTATTAATATTTTCACTGATATCTTTGTTCAGAGTATCTTTAATCCAAGTGTATTTCAAACAAATTGAGAGGTTTAAAGAGTATCTTTGATTTCGTTATTTCTGATATCTGGCTTTCATCCATGCTTCCTTTTTACTGTATAATATTATTCTATTTGTTTTTTGCAACAACAATAACTGTGGGTGTAGCAGATTTGACAGCGTTTTATGTTGTGTGTTTTAATGCTTCGTTCATTTACTTTTAGGTTAAGTTAGTGAATTGTAGACCATTTTTGACTCACCTCATGGTTAGAGGCACTTGAAATAATTTCTTAATTACCTGTTTCATTAACTTATCATTATCAACTTATTCTTTTTTTTCTCTGTGTTGGTAACTTGCTATTAGCATTTAATGAAGAAGGCACTATCAAAACAATATACATTTCTAATGAAATATTTGTCTTCTAAGTAATAGTCAGATATGACACTCAACCAGTTTTCCCCAGGTTCATTCTTTGTTGGGAGATAGTCCATAGTCTCTTCTTTGATAGAGTATGGACTGTATCTTGAAAAGCAAAAGAATCCTCCTTGACCAGCATGGCTTGGTTGGGTGTTGTCCTGCAAATGCTAATGGAAAGGTTGCCAATTCTGTTCAAGTCAGGGCACATGCCTACTTTGTGGGTTTAGTCCCCGGTCAGGTCATGTACAGGAGGCGACTGCTGGATGTTTCTCTCTCACATTGATGTTCCTTTCCTTCTCTTTCCCCCTCCCTTCCCCTCTCTCTAAAAATCAGTAAAGAATAGAATAGAATAGAAGTAGAATAATCCTGAAATTATCACACATTGGGATGAGAATTTGCTAATTGACCAAGGGGAATGAATCATAATACACCTGCTGTTAAACTTCTGGATTACATCTTGATTGACTGGCCAAACGAACTTACTCATGTTAAGTAGGTCTCAAAATGTTTCCATAGATAAATTCTGAAGATGTAATATGATATATAGTTATTATTGCTATCTTTGGGCAGTTGTTTCTTTCAAGCTTTCTTTCAACAGCAGGTACAAAATAATTGAAAAGCTGCTTTAGCATCAGTAACTCAAAAATTTTCTTGAGCATCACAACTAAAGAAATGTGGTATTTCTGAAAACTCAAATCTTTGTGTATTTGCCAATGTACAATAGAAAGAGTGGCTGTTTACACAAACAATAATAGTGGTCCTGTCTTTCACTAAAAGCACAATGATTTATTTTTCATTGCCAGCATCCTAAGGACTAGTAAGGAAGTGGCATCCATAAAAACAAGCTTCATTTGTGTTATTAATTTAACAAGGTATTAAATTACACACATAGATTAAAGAATTTTATTTTATATATTTATTTGTTTTTAAACCTCACCCAAGAATATGTTTTTTATTGATTTTTAGAGAGAGTGTAAGGGAGGGAGAGCGAGAAAGAGAGACATTGACACAACAGAGAAACATCAATTGGTTGCCTCCCGTACGTGCCCTGACCAGGAATCAAACATGCAGCATTTTGGTATAAGAGATGGTGCTCCAACCAACTGAGCCACCTTGCCAGGGCTTAGATCAGAGAATTTTAATTTTCACTGTAGGTTATTTTTCAGCTTTGGTTTCAAGAGACTGTACTTAAGCTCAAACATTGAAATTATGAATGCTGTGTACTTCCATATCTACTTACTATAAGAGTGCATATTGTCTACTAAGATTTACTATTTTCAGGTCTTTACTTTTCTAATTAACATAGGCCACACTTGGGCTTTCTTTTAAAATGCTTGTACATAAGCCACTTTAACAATCTGATATCCCAGTAAATTAATGGAACCAGTGCAGCAGGTCTTTTCCCTTGTTGCTTTTCAACACCTTGAAAGCTTGAGTGCATGTACATCATAGTTACCGTTTTTATTTCATAAGTTGTATAGCATAAATAATTCTCTACTGAATTCTACATGATTGTGCTTTTGAGGGGCTTATTCCAGTCATACCAGTATTTAATTTTGTACTCTTTCATACCATGAAAACAACTGTTCATACTTTTCCTTTATTGACCAGTTAAATACTTTTGAGCTGGATCTTGAACACTGTTAATAGTGTTGCTACTACTTGATACCATTGTAAATTCTGGACAGTGTAGTTAATGCAGTATGTTTGTCTTTTGACAAGCATCGTGGAGAACAGTAAGTAAGTCAAAAGTGATCAGCAGTTGTGATGTTCCTACAGACTACTCTTCCTCCATGCTCCGTGAGTGAGTACTGCCAGTAGACAAGTGCATCAAGTCCCCCCTGAAACACTCAGTTTCCTAGGCCATGATCACAGCTCATCATACCTGCTTAAGTAGCCAGGTAGTGCGAGGTACAGTAGGAGCCAGATTATTCTCAATTTGTTATATACTAAAGCAGGAATGTCTAAATTTTACTGTACTGACAGACCAAAAAAAAAACCCTGCCTAGAGCAGTAACCAGTTCTCGAAAGTATAATCTCTAAACCAGCAATATCAGCATCACTGAGGACTTGTCTAAATATAAATTCTGAGCTCCCACCCCAGCCAGACATACTTAATGATGGAACTCAGCAACCTGTGTTTTAACAAATCCTTTAGGTAATTCTGATACACACGGAAGTTTGAGAACTACTGATCTAGAGATTACTGGTATAATGTGCATATTATTCTAGCAGAATTTTGAAGTGTTCTACCAATATCTGTTTTATAAATTGTTGAAGTAGTTGTTCATGTTTAGTATAAAAATGAGATATGCCTTGGGTGAATTATGTATTTAAGGCAATGGAAATAGGAGGTTTGTAAAACATTCTTTTAAACTAAATTTAGTTCTGTTACTATTCATCCATGAATAGATATTTAGAGCCATTGACTTCTTTAGATTATTCTCCTTAAAAACTAAAATCACTTTGAACCTGATAAATATTTTTAATAGTTAGAAAATACAAAACAATGTGTAATCACCTTTGTGACACAACTGGTATTCCGTTTTCCTTTAATGTGTCAGTATTAAGTTCTTCATAATGGAACATTTCCCTTTTACCTTGATTTACTTATTAAAAAATCTAGAACAGACCTTAGAGACCATATTATAATTGTGCTTGCAGTGGAAGAGAAATTCATGTAAATGGCTCTGCACAGGATACCCTGAGACTGGAAAAAAGAGTAGCATCTGACAGTTTAGGGTAAGATGGAACAAAGTAAGGCTTATTAGAGGCTTTTACACTCATTCCTTTATCAATTTATTGAGCATCTATATAACAATTGTTATTCTAGGTACTGTAAGTACAGCAATGGACAAAATCCTTGCCTTTTGTGTGTATGTATGGTTATTGCCATTTTATTATTCATAGTTTTGATCTTTTTCTTAAATAAGTCCCTTTAACATTTCATATAATAATGATTTAATGATGAACTTCTTTAGTTTTTTCTTGTCTGGGAAGCTCTATTGGCCCTTTAATTCTAAATGATAGCTTTGCTGGGTAGAGAAATCTTGGCTGTAGGTCCCTGCTTTTCATGACTTTTGAGTATTTCTTGTTAATCCATCCTACCCTGCCAAGTTTCTTTTGAAAAATTGGCTTACAGCCTTATGGGAAATCCCCTGTAGGTAACTGCTTTTCTCTTGTTGCTTTTATATTCTGCTTATCTTTAACCTTTGGCATTTTAATTACGATGTGTCTTAGTGTAGTCCTCTTTGTATCCATCTTGTTTGGGACTCTCTGTGCTTCCTGGCCTTGCATGTCTATTTCCTTCAGCAAATCAGGGAAGTCTTCTTTCATTATTTCTTCAGATAAATTTCCAGTTTCTTACTCTTTCTCTTCTCCTTCTGGCACCCCTGTGATGCGACTGTCGGTTAGCTTGAAGTTATCCCAGAGGCTTCGTACACTATCCTCGGGGTTTTTTTGGAATATTTTTTCTCCTTATTGTTCTGATTGGTTGTTTTTTGTTTCCATATGTTCCAAATCATTGATTAGATTCTCAGCTTCATCCACTCTACTGTTGATTCCCTGTAAATTGTTCATTACCATTAGTATAACCTTTATTTCTCCCTGGCTCTTTTTTATGCTGTTGAAATAGTGAGCTCCTTGAGCATCCTTATAACTAGTATTTTGAACTCTGCACCTAATAGATTGCTTGTCTCCATTTTGTTCTTTTTCTGGAGCTTTGATCTGTTCTTTAATGTGGGCCATGTTTCTTTGTCTCTCCATTTTGGCAACCTCCCTGTGTTTGTTTCTATGTATTAGGTAGAGCTGTTTT